CAAGTATCATCAGGCCATAGCAGCAATTGCCTGAGAGAAAAACTTAGTATAGTGTTTTGAATGAGAATGTCTTCCATAGGCTCAGATATTGAATATCTGCTCCCCAGTTTGTTGACAGTCTGGGTAGGTTTGGAAGGCATAGCCTCATTTGTGGAGGTATGTCATCTGGTGGTGGGGGTGTTGAGGTTTTAAAACCTTGAACTATTCCCCTTTCCCTTCCTCTGCTTCTCGGAATGTGATTGGAGATGTGAGCTTAGCTACCCTTGCTGCCACACTTCTGCACTGGGATGGTGATTCAGTCTGGAACGGTAGTCATGGTGTTTTATTGAAGCAACAGTAAAGTAACTAAGAAACGGAGAAAGTACCCAAAGACTGGCAGAGGTGGAAGCTACACTGGGAGCCATTGGGCTGTCTCTACTATTCCCAAGTCTGCTGAGGCTGTAAATGATATTGCTGCCACACCTGAAAGATTGGAGGGCTATCAGGGTGGTGGTGGCAATTGCAACTTGGATCTCACAATTTCGGGAGACCTTCAAGTTGCTAATCAAGCAGGACCTGTGCATGCCCCAAAAGAGACTTCGATTTAGTCAGGGAAACCACCACCCCTGCTGTGGCATTGCCTTAGGAAAGTCTGCTTTAATCGTGACACCTTGAGACGACTCTTAGATGGCCCTACTCAGTTAGATGTCTTCGCTGCAGTAGATTGACAATGTCTTCGCTGCATGCTGGCCCTGTGCTGCCAATGAAGTTTACTCCAAGTGGGTTTTAATGCCTATTTATAGCCTTTTATCGTGGGTAGGGTAAGCTGAGTTAGTTGCATGAACAGATGAGCCCACAGCTGCTAGCTCAGGACACAGCACCCAGCAGAGGTGGGCTGTTGCAGAACTGAGACTGTGAAGAGCTGCCAACGTGTTGGGAAAGTATGATGCAGAGAAGAACAGAAACAGCAAAATGTAAAACACTGCAGAATGCTGAGGCTGGAAAAACTGCAAGCTGCAGCTGCTTCAAGAGTCCCTCGGAATTGCTGCTACCTCTGGCTGCTGAGGGAGCGTCCGCGAGCTGTTAGGCTAAAAAAGGCTAAAAAGCCACGACACCATAAGGACAATACAAGCAGCTGGGTGTGTTGACTCAACCGCTTTTAAAGCCAAAGCTGCAACCTTGAGATCCAAGGGGTTTCAGCACCCCAAGCTGGAGGCTACCGACACAAAGGGACTACATTTTGCCCATTGGTGATTTCCATCCAAAATACTGCCCAAGACAGCCCGAATGTGTCCCAATAGTGACCAGCGTCCTTGCCTGTGACCACTCCGTATATGGACCCTCAGCCCTTGGTGCTCTGGTGTGCAAGCTGCACTGCCCTTCAGTACTGCTATTTCCAGGAAGATTCAAGACCAGGCCAGTGCCCTCCCAGACTCCTACACGTGGCAGGGACACAAGTTGAGGTCTATGGGGTGACCAGGGTTTCCAGCCAGTATTCTCCGCGGCCTGTGGGTATGCACTGCCTGAGCAGGATAAGGGGGTGCCAGTGCCAGCCGCCACTGGATCCTGAAGATGATTCAGTCTCTGGGACAAACCCGTCTATCGCAGTCCCGGCTACCCAGGGGTGGGCGGGCCTCTTAGGCTAGTCCCCGGTTGCTAGGTAACAGGTTGAGGCTTCCCTCTTGCGCAGTGCCTGAGCACCACCCACCTCTGGACCCGCTGTAGCGCCTGCGTACTACTACATCCCTTCCACCCCTCTCCTCTCCAGTTATGTAAACGCTAGCTTCACCTTGTCCAGCAAGGCCCATCAGCGGGCGGAAGTGCACATTGCGGAAGCGGAAATGAGCATGCCCGAGGAGACTGCGGATCTGGAATCGCGTTGACGCGTCTGCAGCTACTGCAGCGCTCCTCTAGGTAGGCCGTGCACAGGGATCGGCCCTCGGCCGTGCCTCGGCCTTCGAGCCTGCGGACCCGGGGCTCCTCCCAGCGTCCAGTCCGCTGTCTGTCCGCCGTGACCCCGCCCTTCGCCCCTGGCGGCGCCGGTGCGGTCCCCGGAGGAGGAGCAGGGCAGCCGTCCTCCCTGCAGGTGCAGCGGGGTGGAGGCTCTTCCTGAGCGCGGCCGCAGGACGCGGAGGACCAGCGAGGTAGAGTCTCGGGCTGGTGCAGGGGCTGGGGAAAGAGGGGCTGCTACCTGCAAAGCCTGCGGTCGGGGAGATGTGGGGCGTGAAAGGGACTGACTGGGCCTCAGAAGTGTGGAGTTCCTTCCTCTGGGGAGGGGATTGTCCTTTCTGTTCAGGCTTTGTCTACATTTGCTCTCAGACCTTCCCGTCTTAGGGACTGACTGTTAGCCACGACCACGTTCTTCAAGCAGCTCTCGCCATTTCCCACTTCTTCCATGCATTAGTGACCTTGACTGACGTTGAAAGAGTCACGTCTCCAGGCTCAGCACCTCAAATACTGTCACTGTGTGTGTGTGTGTGTGTGTGTGTGTGTAGATATAGCTACAGATATTGCAATAGTAGGTTTAACATAATATTTGTGTCCACCCAATTTTTGATGCCTAAATTACTAATGACAACTTCAAATTCTACCAGGAACCAGCATCTATTAGTAACCAATGATAGTCCTGTGAAAGTTCCTTTTTTAAGCCTAGAGTTTTTACAGTTTCTTCATAAGTATAATGGAGCTTGTAGCTTTTGCCGCACATCAGTCAGTGTGTTTTGCAGGTTAGTATTTGTGTGTGTGAGTGCCCAACTCTGCCTGGCTAGTGAGTGCACTATAAGATGAGATTGTCTCTCTGCCCTAGGTCCTCAAGAGGCATTATTTTGTGTTGCTTTTTGTATATTAAGGATTTGTTTTTGTTAATATTTTATCAAAGGACTTAGTGGTTTGATGCCATGTTAAACAAACAAAAGAGGGATTATTATTTTTTCTTTATTGGTGGACCTGTTACCTGCCTGAAGAATGTCTTTCATTTATATATAAGGACATATGTAAATACATCTTCTCAGTAAGAATTCTGGTGGTACTTTCTCATATTTTGAATTCTGACTCAAACTATTTTGTATCGATATTTTAGTTTTTCCATAGTCACTCAAATGCTGCAACTGTTTAGCATAGTGCATTCTCTTTCAAAGATTTATTTATCTATTTATTTATTTATTTATTTATTATGTATACAATGTTCTGTCTGCATGCATCCCTGCAGGCCAGAAAAGGGAAACATCTCATTATGGATGATTGTGAGTCACCATGTGGTTGCTGGGAATTGAACTTGGGTCCTCTGGTAGAACTGCCAGTGTCCTTAACTTCTGAGCCATCTCTCCAGCCCCCTTAGTCCATTTTTATGCAGCTTCTCTTCTTAACACCTTTACTGAGTGTACATGACAGGTTTACTGCATAGTTTGATACATTTTAACATTTGTTTTAAATGCATGTGTCAGTTTGATACATTTTAATGTTTGTGTTAAATATGTGTAATGGCATAGTGATGGTAGTATCCATACCTGTCATTTCCAGAGTACATCCTTGGGCATGCTTTCTTCCTGTCAGCCTCACTCCACTGTTAGATCACAGACCCACCACATGCCTGTGTCACCTAGAACGGAGCTTAGCCTTTCATGCCAATCTTTAAGGAAACCTTGAATAATAGTTTTACTTTTATTTAGTCCCTTCATGTCTTGTGACTCCTGGGAGGCTAGCTCACATGGTTTGGAACTATACCCACACAAAACAAACAACAAAACCAAAAACCATTATAGTCAGAAACTCCCTTTGTTTCTTGTAAAGGGAAAGAATTCTGTCTCCCTTCAGGACCTCATCACTGCCATCTGTGGTTTGCTGCTTTACCTCTCTTAATATTGTGGGAACTGAACGGTCTGGTTCTTTGCCTTAATCACCCCTGCCACCTATTAATTAACCTCTTATTTGGACCTGAAGGATTGCATCCTACTTCATTGTCCCGTCATATGGCTGGCTGCCTATGGCCGTTCCAGCCATAACCCTAATAAAGCTCCCATCTGAAGGGAAATCATGTCAGCCTCTTTTCTACAAAGCAGTAACTTTTTTTTTTTTTTTTTGTAATGTATGACAATCTCTAGTCTGCTATTGTCAAACAGACTTGCTTAGCTATTAGTGAACTAGAATTTTATGACCATCAAGTCAGTTTGCTGGGTTTTTTTGGGGGGGTGAGAGAGTCTGTCTACTATTATTTATCAAGTTATTCAAACCAGGTGTGATGTGTGATGGCATATATCTTTAATCCAGGCACTCAGCAGGAAGAGGCAGATGGGTTTCTGAGTTCAAAGCCAGCCTGGTCTATAACCAGAGTTACATGGTGAGACCCTGTCTCAAAAAAGGGGTGGGGGGGTTGGGGTAGTATTTTGAAGGTTACTAGTGTTTCGTGTCACAATTTATATTTTAGGTTTGAAAATTAAGTACTAGGTGGGAAATAATTACCCGTTTAAAAACTTAGCTCAGGCTGAGGTGGTTTAGTGGGTGACAGTGGCTGCTGCCAAGCCCGAAGGCTTGAGTTTGATTCCTAGGACCCACGCGGTAGAGGAGAGTCAACTTGCACAAACTGGCCTCTGATCCCCACACATGCACCGTGACATGTATGCATTGCCAGGCCTGCCTGCCGCTGCTCCAAAAGACAGAAGTGAAAGCAAAGTACAAAAACTTACCTCTTTAAATTTAACAACAGTAAGAGAAATCTCAAAAGACTGCTATGTCGTGTGTTGTCCTTGTGAAAGTCCCGATCTAGAAATTAATACGTGTTTAATAAAAGTGTTGTCTAATTTCCACTGAAAACTCTGCACTCCTGTCAGTATGTCATTAGTGTGGCGTCTGTCACAAGTGCACCTGCTGTGGTGAATGTCACGTGTCTAGAAGTAACTCCAGGGCTGGAGAGACGGCTCAGCCGTTAAAGGCCAGGCTCACAACCAAAAATATAAAATATAGACATAACGCCATAGCCTCCTGATTATGAATTTATTTCCTTTTTTTTTTTTCTTTTTTGCAGACATATAGAACCAATTATGGGGGTGAGAGGCCTACAGGGCTTTGTGGGAAGTACCTGCCCACATATATGTACCGTAGTAAATATCCGAGAGCTGGCAGAGCACCACCGGACCAAGTATCCTGGACATACTCCTACGATTGTGGTGGATGCCATGTGTTGCCTCCGGTACTGGTACACACCAGACTCTTGGATCTGTGGTGGCCAGTGGCGAGAATACTTTTCTGCACTGAGAGATTTTGTAGCAGCCTTCGAGTCCGCTGGCATCAAGCTGATATTTTTCTTTGATGGCATGGTGGAGCCGGGTAAGAGAGACGAGTGGGTAAAGCGAAGGCTGAAAAACAACAGGGAAATCTCCAAGATTTTCCACTATATCAAGTCAAAACGAGATCAGCCAGGCAGAAACATGTTCTTCATTCCCTCCGGGCTGGCCATATTTACACGATTTGCTCTAAAGTCTCTGGGCCAGGAAACTTTCTGTTCACTACAAGAGGCAGACTATGAGGTGGCTGCTTACGGTCTCCAGCACCACTGCCTGGGGATCCTTGGGGAAGACACTGATTACTTAATTTATGACACTTGTCCCTACTTGTCAATTGGCGACCTCTGCCTGGAGACCCTCGAAACCGTCATGCTCTGCCGAGAGACGCTCTGTGAGAGCCTAGGCCTCCACGTGGCAGACCTTCCTCTGCTGGCCTGTCTGCTCGGCAATGACATCACCCCAGAAGGCATGTTTGAAAGCTTTCGGTACAAATGTCTGTCCTCCTATGCCTCCGTGAAAGAGAACGCTGGCAAAAAAGGAAATATTATCTTAGCCGTCTCAGACTACATCTCCAAAGTTCTTCACTTATATCAAGGTGAGAAAAAGATAGAAGAGCTCTTACCCTTGGGACCAAACAAAGCTCTTTTTTACAAAGGAGTGACCTCATATCTTTTGCCAGGGCAGACATCTCCATGGTTAGTTCAAAAACCCAAAGTCGTAATAACAGACAAGCAAGTGGCAAGTTTAAACCCTGAGCCTAAGCAAGAGGTTCCCATGTGTGTAGATCCTGAATCCAAGCAAGATGTCCCTGTGTGTACCGATCCTGAGTCCATGCAAGAAGTCCCCATGTGCACAGACCCTGAATCCAAACAAGAAATCCCCATGTGCACAGACCCTGAATCCAAACAAGAAATCCCCATGTGCACAGACCCTGAATCCAAACGAGAAGCTTCCATGTGTCCATACCCAGAGGACAAGCAAAAGTTACCTTCAGAAACAGAGGCTCAACTTAACGTGCAAGTACTCATGTGCATGCACCCTGAAATTAAACAAGAAGACACCATGGATTTAGAACCCGAGATAAAACAAGTAACCATGGTTTCAGAGTCGGAAGTCTTAAAGGTAAGTGGATATGCTCCCCCACCCTCCACTTCAGAGTCACGTCTGAAAGTATACCCACTAGCGGATTTGCTCATGAGAATCTGTTGATCATCTGAAGGGGACCGAAGGAAGACCCAGACTGGAGCCTCTTAAGTCTGGTTAGGAAGCTGTCACCATATATATAATACTGTAAGTACATTTGATATTGCCTCATAAATGAACTGGGAAAGAGCTGTCGGGATTATGAGGAGAGGACATTGTGTGTTAAAGTATAATATAAAGAAGAGGTTTCCTGCCAGGCATTGGTGGTGCATGCCTTTAATGCCAGCACTTGGGAGGCAGAGGCAGGTGGATCTCTTGAGTTCCCTATTTCCAAAAAACCAAAAAAAAAAAAAAAAAAAAAAAAAAAAAAAAGAGGTTTCCCAGTGGAGTCAGGCCTTCAGGAGGACAGCACTTGCCTTGAGTAGGTCAAATGTGGGGTTGTGGGAACCCTACAGATGTAGTGATTAAATTAGTGTCACTTTGAGACATACTGGTAAACTACCTAGGGCTTGGGGAGAGGGAAATGCCAGGGGTCTGGGCTAATTCTAAGTCAACGTTCTGTAGGCCTTGAAGAGCTCACGCCAGTGGAGAGTCACTGTTGAGTATGTATCCTTTTTCAGTTGACTCTCCCAACAGCCCTGTGACAGGTACTTTTCTCTCCCCCCACCCAGCTCCCACATCATGGCTTCCCCCTTGCTAAGCACGTGCTAACCCTTGAGTTACATTCCCAGCCTTACTATCTTTGGGTACTTTTAATAAGTTGGGCATCCAAAGATTGAAAGCTGAGAACGAACCGTGATTTTTACCCAAACTTTGAGTACTACATTGTGTCACCATCCTTCAAGCTACAGGTCTAGGAACTCTGCCTTACTTTTAAGACAAGAGTCTCACCATGTGGCTCTGGTTGTCTGGGAACTAACTGTGCAGACCAGGCTGGCTTTGAACTTACAGAAATCCGCCTGCCTCTGCCTCCCAGGTGCTAGGATTAAAGTCATGCACCACCATACCTGGCTTTCTCTCTTTTCATAGCCAGTCTTTCTGAGTCTGAAAGACCCGCAGAGCGTGGACCTTCACGCTCCCACTCAAGAAAGGCGACACCCCAGATCACTCAGGAGAAGCAGTCCCGATGCAAATAGCATGAGGAATTTTTATTCCAAGTGCATTGGGGTCCACAGTCATCAGACTGAGGACCTCCAGGGCAGAATTAGTTAGTTAGCTCATCTTCTGTTATCTTACTAGGCCAAGATTACGTACTCAAGGGCCTGTCTGTTGTAAACAGCAAGGAGTGTGACCTTGCCTATTTACTGGCAGAGGACAGGGTCTGGGATTTGAGGTTTTTAGGACTTTTTAGATAGTATTTCTAAACTTTTAGCTTCCTGGGATCATTGGAGAGTTAGGCTGTATTTTTCCATCCTTTCAAGTCTTGTTATATCTTTCCACGTCTGTCTTTTTCCCTAATGGCCACAACCACATATACATGCTTCTTCTCTATCAGTAGTCTAGAAATTAGATTGGACAGTTTTCATGGTACTGGATAAACTATAATAAGTAAAGGCCAGGGCAAGAACAACACTTAAGGTGGTATTAATATGACTGAATTAAGAATCATAAGTGATAGGAGATGCCATTATGTATATATGTTTCTCATACTGGTTAATAATAAAGCACTGTTGGCCAATAGGGAAGGAAGATAGGAGGGACTAGGAGACAAGGGGAAATAGGAAGTAGTAAGGAGGGTCAGCATGGAGAGTCTGGAGAGAACAGAACTGCCATTCCTCCGCTCTCGGTAAGACCATGTGGAAATACATAGAAATGGGTTAATAATTAAGACAGAGCTAGCTGATAAGAAACTAGCACCTGGCCAACAGCATAATATTAAATACAGAGTCTCTGTGTGTTAATTGGGGCTGGCGCAGCAACAGGACAAGACCAGGCGGCGGGTGGAAAAACCATATTCCTTACACATAAGTACATAAGTTAACTGGAAACATGAAACTTTCAGTAGGGAGTGTTATATCTCAAGGTACACACAGTTGCCAAAATTGTCAATTTATTGGAGGAGTGAGTATACATAATTCATTGTTACTTTATAGGCAAATTTGTAAAAATACAAACTCTTTAAATTAAAGGCTGGGGATGGTGGCACATGCCTTTAATCCTAGGATCTCTGTGAATTCAAAGCCAGCCTGGTCTACATAGTAAATTCCAACACAGCCAGAGCTATGTAGAGAGACCCTGTCTCAAAAACAAAAACAAATAAACAGAAAAGTCAGAAGTGAAAGAGAGAATTGAAAATTAGAAGTGAATTTGCCATTAAAAAAAAAAATCTGTAAGTTGAACATCTATATTGGAGTTTACATTGGAAGAGCTTCTCATTTTCAGGGGAGGGAACATGCGAATTGGTGCCCAACAGTCTCCCTGGAAACATACGTATAAGGTTACACTTGGTAATACATATGTATATATAAATACACATATGCATGCGATAGCAGTTAATGAAAAAGAGGCCTTATAATTGAAGAAGAGTGGGAGGGAAGGGGATGGAAAAGAGAAACACTTTAATTAAATTTCACAAACAAACTAAAACCTGGTAGTAGGATTGCCGGGTTTAAAGAAACCTAACAGTGAAGTAGGCATTATGTCAAGTGTGTAGTAAAGAGAGGAGACCTGAATAGACCCGAGTAAATATTTGGTGTTTACTGATACCATCAGCGGTCAGACTTGTTAAGCACATTCTGTGTATCTGCTCATTTAAGCCGCAGTGATCAGTGGCTTTTTAAATAAAACTTGTGTTGTAAATAAACCAATGAATAGGGTGATTAAGACTCAATCTCAACAGTGAATCGACATAACTAGTTCTACTTAGGTGCATATAAATTAAATCCAAAAATCTGGTAGCCCAAGTCATTCTAACAAAATATTTTAAATGTCTTCTGATAAACAGTTTGGATTTAAAATTTTGAATAATATTGTAGACAAAACATAGACTTTATTCCCACAATGAAGAAATGAGCTCTTTATAGGGCAGAAGAAAAAAAAAACAAAAAAAAAAAAAAACCTACATGTAGGTCATTATAGATCCTTTGGTCTGAACTGTGACTTTACTGAGAAAACAGAATTTAAATCACATCTTATGGCCTGCCATGTAATGTGCAGGGAACAAATAAAGTGCTGGAAAATGGCTTTTGCTAATTATTAAAGCCAGGTGCAATGGAACATAAGCAAAAAGGGAGAGGGGGAGAAAGGCTGGACAAAGACTACACCACAGCTTGGAGCACCAAGGTGTTTGATATGAGAAGAGTTGAGTCCCATGAGCCAAGGGTGGTTAGTCCCAGTTGGAAATCGGGGATGGGTGTGTGGAGAAGGTAGGTCATGATGTGAGAGGCAAGGAAACTGTGGTAGGAAGGACAGGTGGGATTTCTCCTTCTAACGCACAGGGTGGAGGTGATGTCCCCCGGGGTGAGTATACAAAGAGATACAGGAGATTTGAGACCCGTGGGACCAAGAATGTCACGGTGAAATCTGTGGTACCCATTTGGGGCCTTACATGGGGAAGCAGACTCATCTGTTTCTGAGAAGACATGGTGGTCGGATGAGTGAGGAGTTGGTAAGGGGAGAAGCCATGCTGGGGCTAACAGAGGGACCCTCTGTAACAACCCTCGTGGAAAACAGTGAACGTGTTTACTGGGAGATCTCAAGTACACATAATAATAAGACACTGCACAGCAAGTGTAAGATTGGTAGATTGGAGGCCACAGGAGAAGGGTAATGCAAATAAAGTTTTGAACTTGTTAGTCCAAAAGAAAGGAAACATAAATACCACTTGATGTCATGTGTTTGAATGCCAGTTCCCCATTTGAGCATCATAGATAAACTGATAAGTGGTAGTGACTGTTTCTGTTTGAAACCCAGAAGTGTGTTTGTTTTCAAGGAGAAATCTGTTTGTTGTGTTTGAATCCCCAAAAGGCTGCCAGAATGCATCACGTCCACTCTGAGAGCTACCTAGTGTACAACATTATGAGCAGCGGAGAGATCGAGTGTAGCAACACCCTGGAGGATGAGCTGGACCAAGCTCTGCCCAGCCAAGCCTTCATCTACCGCCCGGTCCGGCAGCGAGTGTACTCGCTTCTACTTGGGGACTGGAAAGGTGAGAGCCAGTCGGTCTCTGATAAATGTAGGAGAGTGCATTCTCCATGGACAAGCAGGCAACAGGTTTTATTTGGCTGTAAAATCTGTATTTGAGAATGCTGCTAATGATTAAGACCACAAGACATTACTATCTAACTAGCACAATTGATCAGAGTCATTAATGAGAATTGCACCGTCACTATGAAATGTCATATTTCTATGTCTTAAAAGCATTTGTGCTTTTGAAAAACTGAAAACTTGTCTGCTACAGTCAGTCATATATGGTGTTTTGAGAGTACTATTTATGTACCCCTCAAAATAAGATTTTTCTAAATGGACATGCAAGGGCTTTATGTTCCTCCTACATCTAGTGACCCGTTGTCTTTACTCAGATGGAGCCAGCACTGGCCCAGTGGTCAAGGAGTGGTTTGTGTACCCTGGGAACTCCCTGAGGCACCCAGACCTTGTTCGGCCTCTGCAGATGACCGTTCAAGGTATGTACACCACAGTTGGCATTTTCTTAGGGCCACCAACCAGCTCCCAAATAATGACACAGAGACTTCTTACTAATTATGAAAGCTCGGCCTTAACTTAGGCTTGTCCCCCTAGCTCTTATAACTCAGTCTAACCTGATTCTGTTTGTCTCCGTTTTACCTCGGGGCTCTTTACTTTTCTTTGTTTCAGTATGTCTTGCTTTCCTGCTTCCTCCGTGTCTGTCTGTCTGTCTGGCCACTGGCTGGGCTGGCTGGCTCCCTGTTTCTCCTCACCCACCAGTCCTGCCTATCCCTCCTCTGCCTAGCTTTCAGCTTTTTATTAGACCAATCCAGTACCTTGGGCAGGCGAGGTAAAACAACAACACACCTTCACGTAATGAAACAAATGCAGTATAAAGAAATGTAACACACCTTTAAATAGTGAATCAAATACTGTATTCTGCGACGGTACAGCCTTAAGCTATCTATCTTTGGGTGCCATCTCAAGGAAGAACACACTATATGAATGTCTGTTTGCAGAATTACACCTTGCCTGATACTTGTTTCGATTCCTATACCCTGAAACACTCTAGAGATAAAGAGGTAGTAACTGATAGGCTCTGTAGGGGCGGTAGGTGGGGGGTGCGTGTTGGGGGTGTGAGGGTAGAGGTCGACACTGAGTGTCTGCTGTCCTATTTTTTAAAGGCAGAACTCGGAACACGTTGACTTGGCTAGACTTACTGAACAGTGAGCTGTGGTGATATTTTGTTTATGATCTAACAAATAAAGCTCGCCTAAAGATCAGAGTGCAAAGCTAGCCACACTAGTCAGCCACACAGGCCAGGCAGTGGTGGCGCACACACCTTTAATCCCAGCAGCCACACTAGTTAGCCATAGAAGCTGGGTGATGGAACACCTTTATTTAATCCCAGCAGCCGCACTAGTTAGCCATAGAAGCTGGGTGATGACGCACACACCTTTATTTAATCCCAGCAGCCGCACTAGTTAGCCATAGAAGCTGGGTGATGGTGGCCCTCACTAGACACAGGTGCCTTGCCTAAGGCTCCCAGCCTTTCTGTTGCTTGCCGCCTGCGTCTCCAAACTGGAAGACGTCACAGATAGCATGTGCGCGAGTGAACACAGCAACTGCCCTGTGAGGCCTGACAAACTTTGAGTTAACGCTGGGACTTTACGTTTGCTTGTGCTAGAAAATAGCAGCAACCATTTAAAACAAAACAAAACGCTAACAGGCAGAAAGAAGCCCACCATAAACATTGGGAGTGTTCCCGACAGATTCTCAGAAGCCCTTCACGACCTTGGAGTGTGATCTCTTAAGTACCAGTCTCTCAGGTGACAATCTCATTTTCTCTCTCTGTCTCAAAGAAAATGCTCCTCCTAAAATAATAACAAAACACGCCGTGGCGAATGAAACACTCTCGCCTTTTCAGGACCGCAGGAGACTCGCTGTGTTGTTTTGCTCCTGGTGGTGGGAGATTCACCCCCGGGAAGAGTGAATAACAGTGCTGGAAACAAAGGTTGAAAAAAGGACTTCCTTTGAGTCTCTGGCTTCTGACACCATTTGGTTAGCTGCTTTGTTTACACAGTGAACACACCAGACATTCTACCCTAGTTGCGCTGGACCTTTGGCATAGGCTTTCGATCAGTGCCCAGCAGAGAGCCACAGTTGCCGGGGAAGGCGCTGCCACCAGCACCTTCATATTTGTGTAGAGTTGCCACCCAGACTCACGGCAGTTTGTCCTCGTCGAGCTAACAAGTGAGGACCCCCTGCCTCCCCCCCCCCAGCAATTGTCTCTATGCGCCTGCATGATATAGAAACGGCACACTAAAAGTTACTGTTTATTTGTTTGGTGGCTTATATCCATAGACCTCAGGCAGCGTGGTGTTCAGCTTCATAGTCTCTGGCACATACACCTCTGGGGTCAGCAGGTTTGGTTGGACATGGCAGGAAAGACATTGCAAAGTCTTTGCAACAGATTCCTTTGTACATAGAAGTTTGAAATCCACCAATGTGGAGGGGTCAGAGCCCACCAAAGGGATGGGCCGATGGCTCTTCCTCAGGGCATGTTATCCTGTTACTAGATCCTTGAATGGGAGGGGTGTCCTTTCTGAAAAGCATCCCTAACTATAGGATGTGCAGCACAGCTGTAAGTTAAAGCCCCGCTTTACGCACAAACCTAGCTATTAAAGAGGTTAGGTCAGTGGGGTATGGCTGGCCCTGTAGGTTTGTTTGCTTTGAAAGCAGGAAGCCGTACCATATTCATCCTCTGCTTCTGTTAAACCTTGATGCTCCCAAGTAAGTCAGATGGGGGAGAGATGAATCATTCTTCATTGTGCTCCCAAAAGTCTATTCTGACCATGCTAAATGAATTTCTTTTTTTCAAGGGGGAACACCTAGTTTGGAAGTTTTGTGGCTGAGCCAAGAGCCGGCAGCACAGGCCCGGCGCCTAGACTCATTGCTGGCCTGCTTCAATCTCTCCTCCTCAAAAGAAGAGCTGCAGGCGATTGAAAGCCCTTTGAGGGCTCTGTGCTGCCTCCTAATCTACCTGTTTGTCCAGGTAAATGCCGAGCTCACGGTTCTCATATATAATGAATATATAGAGCTGACATAACTGCCGTGCGTTTCTGCCCGCCCCTTCCTGGAATGCTGTGAGTGTCTCCGTGGGTCAGTTCCCATGTCCTCCTTCCACGGAACACAAGTAACCCTTCACTACTTTTCACAACAAAAAGTGTGTCAACAAGTCAGCGGCTGTGTGTATATTTGTTCACAGGATTGGCTGTCCTCTTAGAATACTGTGATAAACCTAGAAGGATAAATTATAAAATATCGTGGATTAATGTAGTTGAGCTTAAATTAGTTTTTTTTTTAAATATCTATTTAATTTTATGTGTATGAGTGTTTTGCTCCACCCATTCTCTGTATGCATGTGTACCGCCTGCGTGCCTGCTGTCCGTGGAGGTCAGAAGAAGGCATCATATCCCCTGGGGATATGGGTGGTTGTGAGCCACCATATGGGTGCTGGGAACAGGACCCTGGTCCTTTGCAAGAGCAACAAATGCCCTCAATTGCTGAGCCTGTTCGCCTAAATTAGCCCTTTTGCTATGCAGCGTGGAGTAAAATTGCCTATCATTCATTATATGAAAACTGAATGGAAACAAGTTTGATTTGTTCCAGCTTACTTAACAAGACTTAAGTCTGATCCGAGGAAATCTTGGAAATGCATTTATACTAGTTACTTTGGCTGTTGCTCCAATGAAACTCCTGGCCAAAGCGACTTAAGAAAAGAAGAGCTGTTTTGGCTCACAGTTCGAGGGGACAATTTATCCTGACAAAGATCGTGGTAGCAGGAGCACAGGGCAGCTGGTCGCGTTCCTGTGGCAGAGTGGTAAATGCTGGTACCCGCTTTCCCTTTTTCATTCATCCTGGGGTCTCCACCCACGTTTTTGGCTCTTCCCCTTCAATTAACCCAGTCTAGAAACTCCCTCACCTGCATGCCAGAGGCTTGTTTTCACAGTGAATTCTAACCCTCATCGAATTAACAGTCAGGCTTAGTTACCTGTGAGAAAAGACACGTGAGAGTCAGGCTGTCCCCCAGGCAGGTGTTTTAAGAACAGGCCCCCAAACAGGAGTAATTGTGGGGAGAATTAAATGCTGGTGACCCCCAGTGCAAGCAGGGATAGCGGTCTATGAACGTTAGAATCTGTCTCAGATCCTACATTTGCAGGGCTTTGCTTTCATTGGTGTGAGGGTGATGCCTCCTTTGGAATAAGCATGGAAGAGGGTCGTGACAGGTCATTGTTACCAGACGCTAGTGACATGTGTCTTCACTTGAGTGGTAGCATGTGCCGGGCCAAGAGAGCGTCAAGGTCAGGGTGGCATAAAGCCAGGGTTCTTCCCGGCTTGTGGGGGCCATCCCAGGTGCCCTTGGTTAAATCTCCCGGATGGAATTGCCATTGTTCTGTTTCTTCCCCCTTGGATTTTGCTGCCGTAGTGTACCCCTTCCTGTCAAAAAGGGCTCTCGTGTAAGAGAACTGCTTCATAAGTAGTTGCTTCTACTTGGTCACAAGTGTGGTTGTTTTGCTGGCTGCTTTTATGTTGATCTGACATAAGTAGAGTCTTTTCAGAAGAGGGAACCTCCACTGGGAAGATGCCCCCACAAAATTGGCCTGTGGTACCTTTCCTTGACCAATGATCACGGGAGGGTCCAGCTCAACGTTGGTAGTGCCATCCCCAGGTTGGTGGTCTTGGGTGCTTTACAAAAGCAAGCAGAGCAAGCTATGTAAGCGGGCTAGTGAGCAGGTCCCCTCCCGGGGACCTGTTCCTGCCACCACGTGCTCTGACTCCCTTTGATGGTGCACTATGATTTGTATTAATCACTCCCCCTCGCTGCTACGATGGATCAGATACCCTACAGGAGCAACCTAAGTGAGAAAGGGTCTATTTAGGTACCATTTGAGGAGGCACAGTTCATTATGGTGGAGAAGGCGAATTGCTTTCACACTCAGGAAGCTAAGAAAACCAACGCTGATGCTGAGCTCGTTATTAGTCAGGACCTCTGCCTGTGGGATGGGTACCACCCACATTCGGCATGGGCCTTCTCTCGGGGTGAAGCCTTCCCAGACACAACTAGGAGTGTGTTTCCATGGTGACAGGAAGTCCAGTAGAGATGGCATTGAAGAGTTACTGTCACAGTGGCTCAGCACAGACGGTGTCAGCCTCGGGACTGTATGAGGTCAGGTGGGCAGAGGCACCGTGTCTCTGGGTCTCCTCATCCCACGACTTATTTTAAAGGTCAAATGTTATTTTTCCTCCACTGTGCATATATATATATGCACATGTATGTTTTCCTGTGTGTGCACCCCGTCTATGTTTGTGTGTCCATGTGTGTAGTACATATAAACTGTGCTGTTCACTGTCAGTAGGCTCACACTGGCCTCTTTCTGTGCTTTGCAGGTAGACACTCTTTCCCTGGAAGACCTGCACGCATTTATTGCTCAGGCCTTGTGCCTCCAAGGAAAATCAACCTCACAGCTTGTGAACTTACAGGTATAGTCATAGTGGTTTATCACAGCCAAGGAGGTGACCACGCTGTGATCACAGGGTCGGCCTCCTTTGTAGCCTTTTCCCTGTTGTGGTTGGCCAGCGTGTTTTGGTGAAGGACGGTGGTCCTCTTTCAACAACTGCTGTACCCTTGCTGAGGGATCAGCTCGTTCCAGGTCCTGACCTGGTCGCCTCAGTTTGAAGGAAAGCCTTCATCAGACTCTTTGGAGTCGGAGAAACAGAGCCTGCTCTGGTCCAGGCCCACCTGTCACATCCCTGTGTGGGCAGCAGGCGGGGGCCAGGCTGCCCTTCCTGTGTTCACTTTGTAGCTCTGTTATTTAGGAGGGTGGGGCTTCAGGGCCTGGCACAGCACAGTGACTTCAGGTCCACCATTTAAAGCAGCTTGTGTTGAGCACACAGTAGTTCAGGATTGCTTTAAAACTGTATAAATGTGCACGCATGTATTAAAAATGCAAGGTTGGACTATATGTATAAAGATCTGTGTACATGTTTCCACACCTACCTTCTCTCTGTAGCCACAGGTTCCCCAGTTAACCATAGATTGAAAATATATATATATTTTTAAACTGCATCTGAACTGGACATGTACAGACTTTCCCCGTCATTATTCCCCAAACAATACAGTGTGGGTGGAGTTTTTCGTCAGGGTCACCAGCCAGCTCTCAAATATCCACACAGACTTATTAGTAATTATATATAAATGCTTGGTCGATTAGCGCTTATAGTTTAAATTAACGCATTTTTCTTATCTACCCTCTGCCACACAGCAGCACCTTCTTTCAGCACGGAACGTTCCTCTTCCTTCTCTCTGCCTGTCCTCCCCTTCTTCTTCCCAGTGTCTTCTTAGTCTGGTTCTCCCACCTTCCCTTACCCTGCCTAGCTATAGGCCAGTCAGCTTCTCTGTTAACACAATCACAGTGGCATAAATCCACACAGTTATGTAAAGGATTATCCCACAGTACAGCGTGACAACTATTTACATTACACTGGATATAATTAATTGAGAGGTGACCTGAAGTATATAGGAAGGAGCATGTCTGCAGGGTATGTGCAGACCCTGAACCATTTTGTTTTGGGGGGGGGGGGTTCTAGCAGTGGACACATTTGGGTGACTTGTTCTCTTAGACTGAGTGCAACTCCCTCAGGAGGGAGGGAGGGAGAAAGGAGACACCTGCCTAGCCAGCCAGCACAGCTGAATCAACCTGGTAATCAGTGGAATGGCAGATGCCACAGCTACATTGCCCTCACATTCCTAGGTCATTCTGAAATTATTTTCTTACCAGGATCTTTGTGATCAAAATAGTAGTCTCTCCATTTCAAGACTCTAATCATCTTTAAATTTTTTTGTGACCTTCCGGGCAAACTTTGATAACTTAAGTTGTAATGGTTCCAGGAGTGAGGAAGAACTGTAGGTCTAGGATGATACTAACCTGCTTTTCTGTCAGCCAAGCAGTAACTGTTGCAGATTCAGCCAGTATTGCACAGCTAGCGTCCTCTCGGGCACTTGCACTGGTACATTGCAAGTCCGGGTGTCTCACTTCACAGCAGCTAGTCCATCAGTGTTGAAGAGGAACGTGAAAGTCATGCCAGAGCTCCTTGAGTCCCTGCCTCTCGGCTGCACTTTGGATAAGTCTTAGGAGCAGCTCAAGTGATGAGCTCAGCAAGGAACAACAGGCTCAGAGCCTGTGAGGTTAGATGTGACGGGCAGAAGGATGGGTCTGGTTTCTCCTCCCTCCCTTCTCTGTTTTTACCCTTATCCTCCTCCTCTTTAACTTCACCCTTTCTGCTGTCTCCACCTTCTGGCTGGAAAACTTGTCTGTTAGGGAAGATTTCCATGTGTCCTGACCTCATGCTGGGGTAGCTTCCTCTAGGCAAGTCCACACCAGAGAAAGGGAGTTACACACAGGTGAAACCAAAGCCATGTCTCTTGAAGACCCTGGGAATGCCTGAGCAGGAGCCTGCATTTTGAAGTTGGGTGCCTACAGCCAGAGTGCGGAAGAGCTCTGGGTCTTGGCCTCTGAGCATAGCCTTGGAACACCTACCCTAGAGGTACTTAGAAGAGCCTAGAGATGGAAGGCGGGAATGCACTGCCCAGTGAGAGCCCTGACTTCTGAAAGGAGTCTCTGCAGGGGAAGGCGCCAACACAGGATGAGATGGCTGAAAAAAGAGCAGAGCAGGCGGAAATTTAACCTGTCTACTCTTAGAGCAGTGGATCTCCAGGAGACCCCTGAGCTGCCCCAGGAAACCTCAGGACCTCTCTTTTTATGTAAATTCATCATCCATGACCTTTATCTTGTGCTGTGTTTTTTTGTGAGTCCTTTCTGGAAAGGAAGAGAACCGATTTTCCTGTGCTCCTGTTGATTATGGATTCTGCCTTAGAGAGAGGTAATGTGAGCAGATGCAGATGGTGGTCGGAGGCTAGAAGTGAAGGACACTTAAGCCGTTGGTTCTCAGAGGGTGCTAGTAGTATCATTGAAATCCGTGTAGTGCCTGCTCCTGTACAAAGACCTGGGTTCTGTCTCCAGCACCAAACTCAGAAATCATGGAGCAGAGCACGCCACCCACAGCCTAGGGAGGATGCAGTGTTTCAGAAAAGGCTGGCAAACATGTTGAGCAGAAGGCATGTCCTCCCTCCCAGTCCAGAGTGGTGTAGCTGCTCGAGCGGTTGCTGGTGGGGTGAGTAGGACAGCAAGAGCCAACAGAATGGGTGACTTTTCTGCCAGAACGGAAAGAAAGTGACCGCAGCCAGGCCTGAGTGCTGGGAGGGCTGAGAAATGCAGGCTTGATACCTGCATTTCACTGATTCTCTGTGTTTTGTTGTTATTGTTGATTTGTTCCTTTGATTTCAGTGATTCCAGTCCCGTTGTTGATTATTTCTTCCCATATGCTTTTTTGGGGTTTTATTCTTCTTGTTACAGAGCTTTCAGGTGTGTCAAGTAACTGACACAAGAGCACTCATGGACACGCACGCACGCACGAACGCACGCTTCTGTGAACTTGCCTCTGGGAACTCCATTGAGTTCCATGGGCTTGGGTATGTTGTGTCTTTATTTCCATTCAGTTTTAAAAAGGTTTTAATTTTCTTTTTGACTCTTGATTTTTGTGTTGACCCAACTCATGTTACTTGTGTCTTTGCTCCGGATGTGCTCATCTGGGGTTACAGTATAGGTTAAGATTTGTCGGTTGTATTCTTCTAATTCAGTTTGCCTCTCTTCTTTTAAGTGGATGTGTCTGCACTGTTAGGAAGAGTCTAGGTTGTAACACAGTTATGATGTTGCCATCTGTTACACTGTTGTTCCAGGCACCAGGCTCTATCTGCACTCTACCCCTGTGGGTTGAGTACCAGATACAACTCCAGGAATTAGACCACTCCAGTAATATAGTTGCAGGTAACCACAAAACAGATTAATTTAGGGATTAATTTAGAAAGTAAATGGACCCCAATCGCGCTATGAATACTAACAAGGCTAGTGTGAATGCAGAGAAGAAGAGGTGAACAGTCACGGCAAAACCAGCAATGAGCATTGGGTGGTTAGATGGGAAGCAGAGGAGAGAGCCGGGCATGCAGAGCAATGGTAATCACTAAGGCAAAAGGTAAATGGGGCACATACTCCGTGATTGTAAATCAAGTCAGCTGACAGCTTTGGGAGACCAAGGGGAATAGGTATCTGGATGCAGGAAAAGGGAAAGGGAGAGAGTAAGATCGTGTGATGTGAACAGTAGGGGACAGTGTTGGTCTGTCGCTGTGCTCTACTGTAGCATATAGATAAGAAATAGCTGTGGTGGGAAGGAGAGCAGGAAGACGGAAGAGAATGTGAGCATGAGCCTGAAGGTGGCTTTCTTCCCCTGCTGCTCCGCTGGCCTCCCTCCTCAGTCTTGGTGTAGATTGTGTTCCCTAGTGCTTCTAAAATGGTCTCATATTCCACCCCCCCCACCCCTCCACCTCCCACCTCCTGTCGTGTGGAATTTTCTTGACTGTTGCAGCGGCTGTGGAGGGCTGAGGTAAACTCGGTCCAGCTGAGGCTGCTACCCTCCCACAGGGTTGGTAGCTGCTGGTGGCTGTGTAGCTCCCTCAGCAATTTTGTCTTTCCTCATTTGGGGTGTCGGTGGTGTGTGTGGTGTGCCCGGGAGCAGTCACTGGGAACCCCTGATGTGAAATTCCTACCACTGCTGTTCTGTAGATTTCCTGGCAGGAGTTTTTAGCCCAGTTTCCTTGTGGGGGGCGGGGTGCAGCTTTGGGAGGAGTGGCGGTTTGAGTGGCAGCATCGAACCCATTCATGGGTCCTGTGGCAGAAGAGACTTGTTGAGGTGTTGATCAAATCTATTTCAGGACTTGGAAAAGTGGCAGATGGAGTGATAAAATATTCATATTCCCTTTAATTCCCAAAGGGTAATCAGCGTCTCAGTCCAATGTGGCTTCTGTTCTGCCATCTTATCCAGAAGTCCTCTAAAAGAGAATTCTCCAGGGAATTACAAAACCAAAACAAAACAGTAAACTCCTAGCATCAGGATGAAAGACCCACATGCTGAATTCAATTGCATTTCCATATCATCATAACCAGTGAACACGTGGACGCTGACTTATGAAAACAATACCATTTTTCATAATTTTTCCACTAAATTGAATAGTCTAAGTACAAGTTAAACATATGTATGATCTGTAGGCCCAAACTTTCGGTCTTGCTAGGTGTACATGCCTTTAATCCCAACTCCTGGGCGGGAGGCAGAGGCAAATTCCAGGACAGTCAGGGCTACGAAGAGAAAGCCCCGCCCCCCCCAAAATTATAATCTTATTGAAACAAGTGAAAGAAAAGGTCATGCATGTGGAGTTCAGAGGACAACTTCCAGGATTCAGTTCCCTTTATTCATACAGTAAATGAAAAACATGGAGGGTTGTATTAATGGGCTTTAGAAATATTTTATTCAATCCAGTTCTGATTGTGGTAGACTCTGCAGACCAAGCATAGAAATTTTACGTTAATGAAGAGCATCTACAGACCCTACAAAATATTCCCAGTGTCTCCTTCTAAAGAATGGGAACTTTCAGAGTCACACCTCTAAAAACTGTCCATAAGCTAAACCCCTCCAGGGTAAAAGTTAAATTTGCAGTGCTCAGAGTTCATGATAAACAACTTTTTTCCTTAAGGAGACAGGGTCTCGGACTGTATCCCCTGCTGGCCTGAAACTCGCTGTGTAGACTGAGGTAGTCTCAACGTTGTGGCTGTCCGCCTTGGCCTCCTCAGCTGTGGAACTGTAGCCATGTGCCACAGTACTTGTGGTATAGTCTTGAAATAACTGTCAGATCCATTTAAGTGAGGCCTTGCCTATGAAAGCGCTAAAACGTGTCGCTTTCTCTTACTTTTTCCAGTTGTAGTAACTGTGTTAGATATGTAATGGTGTTTGAGGTGGCATTGGCCAGTGTAAGCAAAGCAGATTTCCAGAAGGTGACTGGTTCACCTGTTCCCCAGTTCCCATGAGATTTCTTGGACATTTGTGGTGTTGATGCCTGTGGTGGATTCAGATTCCAGATTTGTGGGGAATACATATGGCTTCTTGTGGGATTGTGGAACCCTTTGTAACATAAAGGGTGGCTTCTCCATTGAGAACAGAAGGAGGTTGAACATAAACATCAATTTAGCAAAGAAAAGAAGTAGTTCCTGTCAGCAAGAGATACTTTTTCTTCTTGAGATTTTATTTTATTTTATTTTATGTGTATGAATATTTTGCCTGCGTGTATATCTGTGCACCATGTACACCTCCTTGTTCTACCTGCAAAGGCCAGAAGAGGGCATTGGGTCCTCTGGAGCTAGAGTTAACACACAGTTGCCACGTGGGTCCTCTGGAAGAGCTCTTAACCACTGGCACATCTCTCCACAGCTGAGGCAAGATACTCTTAATTTGTAAAAACTCAGGCACCAGTCTTTTGAGATTACATATATGCCATTTTGTTCTTAAATGGTATTGAGTTGCAATAAGATTAAGTATGGTGTTTTTGTTTTTGTTTTTGTTTTTTTTTTTTTTTTTTTAGAAACACAGGGAATATCTCTCCCTTTCCCTTTGAAGAAAGTTTGTTCAGGGGAACAAACCTGACAATACATTATTTTGTAAGTTCTACCTAGTGCCCAAATCTTCCTAGAGCAGTGTCTTAGTTACTTATCTGTTGCTGTGACATCATGACGAAGGCAGCTTAGAGAAGAAAGCATTTAATTGGGGGTTTGCTCACAGTTCCAGGGGGTGAGTACAGTCCTTGACCATCATGGTGGGGAGCATGGCGGTAGGCGGGGACAGCACAAGGGCAGTAGCTGAGAGCTTACGTAGGATCCACAAGCCCAAGACAGACGGAGGGACGGACGGACGGACGGAGGGACGGACGGAGAACTGGGAATAGTATGGGCTCTTGAAACTTCAAGGCCCACCCCCAGTGGTGCACCTCCAACAAGGCCACACCTCCTAATCCTTTCCAAACAATTTCACCAACTGCCAAGCAAACATTCATTCAAACCATCACAAGCAGGATGGCTATGTTCCAGATGTGCATAAGGAGAGAGGCCAAGAGAGTGCCTGCTGCCCTGGAGGGTGGATGGTGAGCAAGGGCGTGTGCCTGGACTGGGCTCCCATCACGCTTGTCTGGCCTAGCTTGTTCCTCAGTCCCCTTTCAGTCAGACGGTTCAGGCTGTGGCAAGACTTGGCATGGCGGGGGCTCAGGCCCTCGAGCTACCTTTTTTGCTGCACACACCTAACTTCTGCATTGAGCTCTCTGTCTCGAGCTTCCTGTGCGTGTCTGTCTGTCTCCACAGCTGGATTACATTAACTCCAGGGCTGTGCAGCTGGGGTCCCTCCTCGTCCGTGGCCTCACCATGTTGGTACTGGTGAACAGCGCATGTGGCTTCCCCTGGACAACAAGCGAATTCATGCCCTGGAACGTCTTTGATGGCAAGCTTTTCCATCAGAAGTACCTGCAGTCTGAAAAAGGATATGCTGTGGAGGTTCTTTTGGAACAAAATGTGAGTTCTGGTTATTGTCTACTGGAACCATGAGTAAGTTCGACGTCAGCCACTCTAGTGTGCCTGGAAAGCCTGCCCATCCTGTTAGTCAGGAAGCTTTAAAAAGATGGGCATGTTCTCCAGAGTCATCCCCATCACCTCACACAGCTGTTAAGACTGTGCTTACATTTCTGTAACTGATGTCCACGCGTGAGGTTGGCTCGGTCTGGGAGTATCAGTTGGTGTCCTCATAGGTGACTGCTTCTGTAGGGAGAATGGGCTGAAAGAAGGGCTTGCAGTGTCTGCAGAGGGGTCCCCAGTCAGCAGAGTCACTGGGGAGACTCCTGCTACAAAAGCCTGCCCGTGTCCTGGGGACACTAACTGCTGCCCCAGCTTTCTAAGTACAATTGCTTCATGATTCCTGGAAGATTTCCAAATGAGGCTTCCCGCCAAGCTCATTTGGAATGTTTTATTACCCACAGGGATGAGAAGGCGGTGTGATTGTGAGAGAACATGCTGATCTGTTAGATAAAACACTCCCAAGTTTTCACACCAAAGGGAAAACATTTGGCAATGTGTTGCTGTCACCATTTCTCACCAAAGTTCCAGGGTATTGAAGGATTTGTGAGTGTTCAGAACTTGGAGGAGCAGGACAGGAGGAAAGCCCTTTCTCAGATTCAGGCTTTGCTCTAGCAGTGGCTTAGGGAGCTGCAGCCCTGGCATCTCCAGTTTGTTTGTGATTCCTCCTTGAGCACCCTGAACCCACTTAAAAGAATCAGCAAATACAAATAAATACACAGGTAATTCAGGAGGCTATGAGACCAGCACTGATGTTCATATCCCAATCTGCCACTGTTTGATGACCCTGGCATCTCCACTCAGTGTTCTTAGATTGTCACAAGAGTAGATTTTCCGTAACGACTGCTTAGTCTGTGATGTCTAGAAGCAGGCATCATAGGTGCTTGGTGCTGTCTCCAGGGGACTCAGGAGGGGAACAGTCATCTAAGACCCTCTTGAGGTCAGGCCAATGAAGAGCTGCAGCTAAGCTGGTTGATATCCTGGGGACAGAGACCATTAGTAGGTTGTCCGTCCCCCATCCCAGCCACCTCACCCCCTACTCTTTCATCTGGTCTGTTTGCAGAGATCATGGCTCACCAAGTTCCACAACCTGAAGGCAGTGGTCTGCAAGGCCTGCTCAAAGGAGAGCCGACGCATTGTAGGCAGAACCCACTGGAACACTCACTACACAGGTGGGCAAGGTTTGAGCACTTCCCTTACTGTCGCTTAATGTGCTGGGGCCCCAGGCAGATGTACCCCGCTTTCCTGTGATTTACTGATAAAAGAATGATGAAATTATGACAGATGATATGATTTGGCTGCACTCATAGCTTAAATTCTGGTCCCATAAAGAAAAACATTTCAAGAAGGATTCCTCTGTGAACTGAATAAAGAACTCTTTCTCTAATGCACCATCTGTTTCCCACAACTTCCCCAATTAAAGGCTACATGGATATCGTGTGTCTATGCAACAAAAGTTCAGGGTTAGCCTTTCTCATAACAAATGGACACTAGAATAATTCAGTATGTGTATACATACATGCGTGCACTGATGAGTATTAAAAGAAAAAAAAGTCATGAATTTGAAGGAGAGTAGGAAATGGCAAATGGGAAGGTTTAGAAGGAGGGAAGGGAAGGGAGAAATTTGCAATTATAATCTCAAAAGGAAAACATTAAACAGCATCTATAAAAGACTCATGGTTCTGTCACCTAAAATGGCAACTGTTGAAAGATAATACGCTTTTGAAGTACCTTCCTGTTCCAGCTCAGGAGTCTCACCCTTCCACATAGTATTCACGACATTAAACAGTGGCCAATCTTTTCTCCGCTACTGTCAATGTTTACAGGGGGTCCTAGACAACCAAGGGGCTCTGCATTGAGGATGTCAGTAACAGGCACTAAACTGACTTCTGGTGGGGAAGAGTGGGTATAGATCTGAGTGAATTGCAACAGGAGAGAAAGCAAGGAAGGTCGGTAGGATTGGGGTATAGAATTCTTATGCTCAACTTAAAAGAGTTGATGTCTGTATCCATTCCAGATTGAGGAACTTTTGAAGGTTTTGAAGTGGTGTTATCAGAAATGTACCCTTAGGATAGCAGCTACTTTGGCAGTGGAGGGAGATGGGATCAGGAGATGGCTGGCCCAGGGATGGTGGCCCTGGGGGAAGGACCTGTACCCTTGCAGTATCTCAGGCATCACATAAATTATGCTTCTATCTTTCCCCTCACTCGTGAGTGCATCTAGTAATGTGGGTATATCGCTTGGGTCCTTGTCCTTTTTGTCCCCAATGGCCCCAAACCAAAGGAGTTCAGTCTCTGAAGGTCCTGTCAGCCATGTGTTATACTTGGGGGTTCCTGGCCAAATGCCACAGTGCCTAGCAGACACACCCCAGAGTCTGTGGTTGGCACTTGTGGTAGGAACTCATTCCCTTTCTGTGGAGCATGCAAAATAAAGATACCTTAAAAAGTACAAGATCACACGTGGTGCATGTGTGGGGAGCATGGAGGGGCTCGCCACATCCCAGGAATATGGTGTTACCTGAAGAGACTGGAGGTGTGCCTCCTTGTTGGGGAAAATAGCTTTTGCAATTGTTGCCTCTGGAGCACAGTCTGGGTAAGCAACAAGACTCCATTTTAAAGACACATGGTGAGATAATTCTTAGTACTGGTCACAATCTACCATTTGGCTTCTGCACAGATTGCCTGCACCTCTTCTGAGGCCTTTGTCTGCAGCCCTTGTCCCATTCTGCTGCTGTGAGCACACTGAAGGTTTACTAGCCTGGTATCACTAACTACACTATTAAGTGTGAGACAAAAGAGTGATGGTGTGCTGATGTGTTGACCATGTTCCCACAGGGAGGCTGGGGAGACAGGGCTCCAGCTCCCACAGGACAGGCTCCACACATGGCCATCCTGGGCAAGGGCAGCCATGGAGAGATCAGGGTTCAGGTAAGAGGCTCCCACACCAGCCATCAACTGCTCATAGGCGCCGCATTCCTTTATGCTGTGTTTGTGCTGAAACCTGTTTCCTGTGTTTGAAAACAAGTTGTGCATTTGCAATTAGAAGACATACCAGTGTGTTGGCATACCTAATCCTTTGTTTAACGGAATAGAGACAAGTGACAATAATCTTGCTTGATGGTGATATGTCTGCTTTATTTTCTACCAATTCATTCATCTCATGAATGCTCAGTTTTTATAATTTACTCAAAGGCTTTTCTAAAGGTTGCTAATAGAGGGCTCAAGTAGAAGTGTCCGGCTATCTTTCATGTCGTGGATTACATTTATAATGTTAGAAATGCATCTTATGTCATATGGGTGTATTCATAGTCACACTATACTTAATTTGATATGCAATTATTTCCACTCAACTATATAGAGAACCTCTATATAGTGGGACTTTCAGCAGTCCTGTGTGCAGCAGGCTCAGGCCATTGCTATGATGCTCTGAGGAAGGGCTCTCCCCAGGCTGTAGACAGCACACATGTACAGTGTCAAGGCTTAGGTCCTCAAGTGTGGGTATTGAGCAAACTTTGAAGCTGCTATATAGTTTAGGATAATCCAGTTCCTGGTGGGCATCTTTGAAAGGTTAACCCCCGGGAGAAAGAGGAGCACCACCAAGTAGACTTAGGATGACTTTGGGCTTTCCTTGAACTAGCTGAACGTACACAGAGTACTCCACCACTCCTGACACTGACTGCCTTCTGCTGAAGTTCCCCTGGAGCTCTCCACCATAGCCTGGGTCCAGGGTTCCCTGCCCCACTACCAGCCGGCCCATGACCCTGAGCTGACCCAGATAGATGTTTGTCCATAATAATGGCAAGGGAGAGTCAGAGGTCTGACTAGGTAGATGTCTCTCAAGGCCAAAGACCACTAAAACTAATGAAAACCTATAGGCCTTCTTTGTAAAGCTGACTGTGACACTGGTAATGGCTTTATCCACTTGGGTTAGATAGGGTCTAGGTGTAGCTATCTGCATGTCCCACCCTGGAAATGTTTAAGCAGCCTGGGTCCTGACACAGGGCCCCTGGCTGGAAACCAGGCTAATGCCCTTGGGTCTTTGGCCCTTTGTGTTTGCTGTGCTGAGGGAAGAGCTAATGGTTCTTCCTTGAGGCAGCTGCTCTCCACTGATAGTTCTTCCTCTGCAGACCCCTGCTCCCTCAGCCTGCCTCTCCCTGACAGCAGCAGCAGCCTACCTTACCTGGGCCCACCAAGGAAGTTGATGCCTTCCTTTTGTCCTTTTTTGTCCTCTTTGGCTTGCCATTGCCCCATTCCCATTCCCATGTGCAGACTCTTGATGCTAGGCCAGATGACAACTACATAGATGTGGGCAACTGGAGGTTGTAGTTCCCTGGGGAGGCTAGCACCCTCACCAGCTATAGGAGAGCACCTCCAGTACTGTCAAATCTCCACACTCAGGCTGTCTCAGGTGACTGTCCTGGCTCCTTGTTCTCTGTCAGGCAGCTACATCAATAAGCCTGTGTCCCTATAGCTCTACGGTGCTGTGAGTCTTTGATTCCTGCATGGTTGGTGAATGAGTACAGCTCCTGCAGGTGAGAAGGAAAGGTGGTAAGGGGCTATTTACAGAGGTGCCATAGGTCTTCTCTGGGAAGCCTGGGCCTTAGTAACCTCGCCTGCAGCTCTTAACACAGTAGCAGCTGCATTTCCTCACCACAAGAGTGCCTTTGCTTTCCCTGACAGATTGTCCTTACTATAGCTGTACTTCAAAAATAAAGCAAGAAAATCTACTAAAACTGTAAGCCCTGCAAAGAGCTGTCTAAATCCACAGAGTCCTGTCCAAGAAGAATGTCACCAGAATTGAATTATTCTCTGCAATGGCAGAAGTTACGGGGCTGTTTTTCAGATATGCTAGGGGATCAATTCTTCCTTGGGTTGTTGTTGCACAGGGGGTGTTGATTTCTTCACATTCTTTTAGCACAGAGTACTGAGCATGTCCTCGCATAGATGGAAACAGTGGAGTGACTCCCCAGGAGAGATCCTTTCTGAGTCCCAGGCCTCTGCCAGAGAGATGTCCACCCTAGAATCCACACCCCTGAGCAGCATTTCCAATATCCCAGAGACAGCATGGTATCTGTACGTCCCAGCACCGTGACAGCGATCTTCATGGCACCAGAACGCGTCCCACACATGTGGCCAGTGCCATGAATGAGTCTAGAGGCCTTTAGCCACGTGTAGAGTAGACACAGTTTTAGGACAATGAGACTGAAGGCTAGTGAGACAGTGGTTGTAGCCACCTGCTGGGCCCAGACCTGAGGAGGTGGAGGAAACCGTGGGTCAAGAGAGGGCAGAGTTGTAGGACCAGAGCTACAGTGGTGAGCCGCCGGGTCGTCACTTGTCCCCAGGACAGTGACGAGCTCAGGACAGCAGCCACAGCCTTTATGGTTCCTTGTATGCCAGGCATCTCCTGTTTCCTGGTCTTTCGACCCAGGTGGTCTCAGCTGTGGCCCGGCCTGGTAAGACAGACGCTGCTTCTGGACCTTTTGCCCCTTGAGGACTTGATCCTCCCTGAGCTCTTAGGTCCCCAGCACTGTACGTGCCCGCTCTTCCCGGCCTCTGCCTGCACCCTGGGCCACAGTTATGCAGTCCAGCAGTGGCCTCCCTTCTGGGAGCTCTGGCACTCGAGACAAAGTCTGGGCTGTGTGTACCCTGACTGTGCACCCCTGCAGTGTTTTACTGTGCATGCGTGCTCTTCGGGCGTTGGATGATTCTGCAATGATGGGGACAAATGCCTTACTCTTGTTGGACTCAATGAATAGGAAATGCCCCCGTGTTTCAGCTCTAAATCCATATGTACACCCATAGCCACCAATCTTATGATATCTCATCTCTGATATACATATCTTGAACCTGTGTTTTCATATACAAAGAAAAGACCAGATAATCAAAAGCAATAAGCATTTCTTCCGACCCAGAAAAGGACAGTGTGAGGTTATCACCACTGTTAACGGATTTGTGAGCCCTGGTGGCACATGAGGCCCCGGACAGTTAGTCCTGACCACTGAGTGAATAGGCAGCAGTGTAAATCTCCTTACCCAACTGACTGATTCACTGCTCATCCAGGCTGGAAAGGTCTAGGACTTGGCTTCTATCTTTCACCTACGAGGCCACGCCGAACTTGACACATTGGGAGTTCCCACCCACACCCCCCCACCACCCCACCCACACCCTCACCCCCCAGACAAGGTTTCTCTGTAGCTTTGGAGCCTATCCTGGAACTTTCAGTAGACCAGGCTGTCCTCGAACTCATGGAGATCCACCTGCCTCTTCCTCCCAGGAGCTGGGATTAAAGGTGTGTGCCATCACAGCCTGGGAGTCTTAAATGGCATGTATCTTATCTAGCATTAAGTAAGACCAGAGAAGCCCATTTACCCCATTGTTATGGTCACTTGTAAACAGAAACATGATACCGGTCATTCTAGTTAAAGCCTAACAACTATGTAGGCATTGTGCCCTGGTTTGAGACTTGGGACTTTGAAGAACAGCTCTACTGTATCAGGGTGAGTTATAGTGGAAACATAATCGTGGTCTTGACTGTGAAGGTTGAGCTAGGAAAAGTTCTAGGGACCTGCGGCCAAAAGGCCAATTAGAGTGGCCTAGTGCTGGGTTGGTATCAAGCTGAGTGGCTGGCAGTGACTCTGGAAGCAGCTAGGGGCAGTCTGCAAGCAAGGATAGTACTCCTTTTACACCTTGCCACTTGTAGTGAGTTTTTTTTTTTTTTTCCTGTCTTAACTGCTTTTTTATTTCTTCAACACATAAAGTAGAGAGTTGTTATATTTCAAGATTAGAAAAAAATAGACAAAAGTCTTCACGATAGAAAAGACTCACAAATGCTTTAAGTTCAAAATGGCAGTGTTCAGTTTTAGCATGTTTGACACATTTTCAGAATCTGGACCTAAATGCGTAAATGCGGGTCCTGTGGGAACTGAGTTCTCACGGTCGCTGCAGGGACTGGCAGATAGGGGTGGGGTGCATCCCAGAGGTAGTCATCATCAAAGTCTGGGGCCCATCCCAGCCCCCCTGTGACCAAATGGCTACCAGAGTTGAAGTTTGGCCTCTCTCTTGCTATTATTCAGCGCGGCTGGAGAGGAGAAATGTGTTAAATTCCATTAAGGAGCTGTAAAGTTAGATGAGCTTCTTCACTTTGCCCCTTCTCATGGTGAGTGAGAGAGGCCTGCACACTAGGAGACTACAGGAGTAGAAGCAGAGATGACAAGGATGGACACCTGTTAGGGCTATCACCTTCACACTTCAGGGGTCATTAGGCAGGGCATGTTAAAGTCATTGCTTTCAGGTACCGAAGGAAGCCAAGAACAAGACTTACAGAAAAGTGTGTTGTTGTTGAGAAAGAGTCTCACTATGTGGCATTATCTAGCCTGGAACTCACAGAGATCCACCTGCCTCTGAGTCCTGAGTACCACCATGCCCAACCAAACAGTGTCCTCCTTAAGATGTAGAAACTGCCAATTTTCAAGGCTATCTCTGCTCCAAGTCCCTTCCCAACACCCCATGTCTGTCAGAGGCAGGAAGTGGCCAGCTACACTGTGGGGTTGGGGGGCTTGTGTGCTCAGCCCTGGAAAAGCCACACGTGGCTTTTTCTGTGCTTGGCAGGAAGTCCTCTAAGAGCCATCTGCATATGAATTTCCATTTCCAAAGTCATTAGCAGTAATAAACATCTAGATGTCCCACAGATGGTTAGAACTGGCACCAAGAGAAACAATTTTGACAGTTTCCTTCTACTAATAGCACTACCTCCTAATTAATTGCTTCCACTTTAATGGAATAATTATAGAATGAAATTTAATGACAGGTGGTCACAAATGAAAAATGTTCTGTCTTCCAGTACAAGTCAGCACTGTCTTTGTGAATATTTAGACCTGTACCACTTCCTTGAGTTAGTGTCTGGAGACAACTCGTCTTACTTTGGTTTTTCGTTTGTTTGGTGCAGGAGGCAGACAGTATGAGCACGACCAGTGGAGAAGATACTAGATGTCTCGCAGGTAAAATCCTCACCGGCATCTTAAAATGAATCAGTGGATGCTCTGTCCTTATAGCCACTGGGGTCCACCAACTTAATTCAAGATGTGTTTGCTTCTTCCAGAAGTGTGGGAAGAGAATGCAGTGCCCAGACTCTGCCCTCTGTTAGAGTGATGTCACCCAGACTCACCAGTGAGGAGATGGCAACTAGAACCACAGTTAAATGAAGGAAGAATTACTTTTCAGAGGTTTCTTTCTCCCACATAGACTGTAAGGAGTGTCCATTGGTTTGGTTTCAGAGGTTGCTCCTAACCCCATGACCCAAAAACACTCATCACTAGAATCACATGTGCTCCCTGATCTTAGCAGGACTTGAATTCCCTCATATGATTTCTTATTATTAAATTGTGGAAATGGTTTCCCAAATCATTAGTCTTTGAAATCATGGAGTCTTAATTATTCCCTTTACTGTGAAAAGACTCCATGACCAAAGGAACTTATGAAAGGACGTATTTAATTTGGGGCTCAAGGTTCCAGAGGGCAGAGCCCACGACCATCTTGTCGGGGAGCAGGGTGGCAGGCAGGCCAATGAGGACTTGCCAAATGGGAATCAAAGCCCACCCCCATGGCCACGCCTCCTCCAGCACGGCCACACCTAATCCTTTCCACCAAGCATTCAAACATACTAGCTTGTGCGGGTCATTCTCTTTCAGACCATCACACATGGTGCCTAATAGCCACACAATCCGTCAGAAATTACTTTTTCATTACAAATCCTAGCAATTCTTCCTTGCATGTGGGAAACTTGGTCCTGCTCAGAGGTGAAATGGCTCAGCAGTTAAGAAAAGGCCACTCTTCCAGAGAACCCAGGTGTGATTCCCAGCACGCACCTGATAGCTCACAACTCTCTGTAACTCCAGTTCCAGGGGACCTAAAGGGTCTTCTGGCCTCTGTGGGCTCCAGGTACCCAAATGATGCACAGACATACATGCAGGCAAAATACTCACAAAGATGAAATAAAGAAGTAAGGTAAAATTTTGGTAAAGAAGCTTAGAAGTAAGGTCCTCTCTAACCTCTGAAGTTATTACCTGTCTCCACTGGAGAATGAGAGTCACTGTGCCCAGGATCCTTACAGCCATGCTGTATCTTTGGGGACACTTGGTTCCCTTGGGAGATGCAAGCACTCCTGACCCCTGGGGAGATACATCTTACCAGTGCTTCTGTCTCTGAATTTTAGTAAGCTTCTAAAACTGCTCATTTTCACCTTCATTCTGACAACCACCCAGACCACTGGCCCAAGCATGCTGTACAGAGCTCTTGGGTAGGTCTCACCTTGAAATTCCTAGTTACCAGAAAGGTATGTAGCGCCCATATTTGAACAGTTTTTGTTTGCTCAGCTTTTTCTGCTTCTAAAGGACTTGTGTATACTGTGTCTGCAAGTCTTGTAGCTGCTATGGCTTTAATGTCTAGATTTGAAACTGGCTTTTCTGATCTTCCAGTTATTTCCCTGACCCCACTTCCTGTCCTCATTTTTGCTACTTTGAAACATTGCTGCCTCAAGAAGTTGTTTCTTTGTGGTTTATTTGTGTAACTTTGAAGTAAGTTTCTGATCTCTTAGATTGAAACTATTATTTCTGTGAAGGCTGTTTTCCTTCACAGACTCTGTATTCTGACTTGTCAATAAAATGTGTCATTCACAAGCTTAAATAAGCCATTGTGTTGGTGGGATAGTTATTTCATTTAAAATACCAGTGTGCAGAGCTTTGCCAATGAGAATACCTTCTTATGTTGTTTTCCAGTCAAGTCTTGTGGTAGAATTTCTACATATCAACTTAAAATAAAGATGTGTTTGTTTGTTTGTTTTTACTCAAACTTCACTTTTCTTTTTTGGTTTTTTAAAGACAAGGTCCTATTCTATTGCCCAAACAGCCCTGTGAGTCCTGAGGCCTCAGTTATATCCCTCAGTCACCTTTTTAGGTAGGCACGCCACCTCTTTCTTTTTTTTTTTTTTTTTTTTTTTTTCTTTATAGAAAAGTAACGTCGAGCCTAGAATCTCAGAGTCAGTGTTCCTAAACTATGAACAATAACACATTTTCAGAAATCAAGAAAACTGACCCATATATCATTTTCAAGGGTATACTCTGCTAGAATGAGTGCTTCATCCCATGGAACACAGGGCAAAGAATTAAGTGATTTCTTTCACGTACGGGCAGGTATTACTCTGCAGTTTATAACAGTAAGGCGACAGAAGAACAGGGACCACAACGCTGGACTGTTACGTGGAAAGGGATGAGTACTTACTTCTGAGTGGGATGGAAACAATATTTTTATTATCAGTCAATACTTTTAGAAATATATGCTAACATGTATGTAAGGTGCGATATGAACTAGAAAACAAGAAAGCCGGGATCAGTTCCAAAGTACAAGTAAAATGGAAAGATAGGTAATACCAGCACAATTATTTTAGAAAGCAACAGTTCAAGCACAACAGAAATAATGACAGTCTGAGCAATAAATGCCTTTTGGTTTTTATTCCCTTTGAACACATGTGGACAGTTCACAGACCCTAACTATGAATCAGGCCCATATCAACCCACCATTCTAAAATATTTATTGAGGAAATGACTTGCAAATTTACTTAGAAATACCAATAAAGGTACTGCATTTAAAACTCATGGAATGGATGGGATGTCACAGAAAATAAACCAGGAAGCACTCACGGGGAGTCCATAACTCCAGCTCAGTCACAATCCTACTCGCATATATGTTGAAGCTGGCCACTAAGGTAAGCTCTACTGATGCGTTGCGGTCAATCCCCACTTATTTCAATTGCTTAGCCAATGACTGCCCTGTGTGCATTTCTGATTCAGGCTGCCAGAGCCAAATGACAACACCCTGCCCCTCCGAATGGAGTGCTGTGTGGCAACTGCTGTCCCTGTTTCCTGAGAGCCGGGCACAGAGGCTAGCTTAAATAACTCACACAAGGGTTAAAGGAACAACACCTTTGGGTAGAAATTAATTAGGGGCTGGAGAGACTCCCAGGATTATCACTGTTTTGTTTTGTTTTGTTTTGTTTTTGGAAGCCTTGGAAAATAGAAGACACATTTATATTATTCAAAATGCAAACGAGACACTGGAGAGATGGCTCATCATGACCTGTAACTTCAGTTCTAAGGGGATCTGCCCTCCACGGGTACTTCCTTTACGTGGTGCACATACACGTAAATAAATTCTTAAAAAAAAAAAAAAAAACTGAATGCAAAAGAAGAATTCTTTATCAGGCAAACCTATCTAACTAAAGTAAGGATGAGGTCTAAGGTATTTCCAATAAGTATAAACTAGACTCACTTACCATTACATCTGTCTTATAGGAAACGCAAAAAATGAGGGCCGGTGAAATCTCTCAGCAGGTAAAGGCAACATTACAAAGCCTGAGGCCCAAAGGTAGATAGATCCCTACACCTACAGTGGATGGAGAAGGCAAAGATGAGTTTTCTTCAGATTTCCACCTCGGCGCACTCACAAATACACGTTATAATAAACGGTAAGCAGCTTTTAAAAAAAAAAAATTCTTTTTAAACGGGTAGAAATACTGTCACACCTAAGTTACTTCCAGTTTTTAAGAACTCATAACAGGCATCCGAAAAGAAAGCACTCACAGGTTCACAGGAACCAAACAGGCTGCAACCACCGCAGGATCACCACCTTAAAAAGTGTCTCCTACCTCCTGATGAAATTAAGTACACTGGGCGTCATAAATAAGACTTTTACTTTATAAGAAGGAAGAACCAAGATCCTGTTTTGAGGTGTTATTAAATACAAAATATAAAATACTCTGTGACCCAGATGAAGGGGGAGGAAATCCTCCAACACCTCAAGTCTCATGCAATAAAATCCAGGGGTCTGTTGAATCCGCCTTTTCGGTTCATGTACTGCCTGTACTTCCTCTTCTGAGACACATTTATGGAGTAGGCATTTACAGAGCCATCCAACTCAAGTCAAAGGAGGCAAATCGCATTAATTGCATCGTTTCTATTTCTTCCTCGGTAATCTGACGTTCTTTGCTCTCTGTTTGTGTAGTTCCTTTCTTCTCCTCATCTCGTCTTTCTTTCAGTCGAGAATGGGAAGATGTGGATCTACGTCTCCTCGGAGACCTGGAGCATCTTCGGTGTGGGGATCCTGAGTGGTTCCTTCTGCAATCCCTCTCCCGGGGCCCTGGACCTTTCTCCATCCCGGGATTGGATCAGGACGGAGCGGCTATGGCTATGACCCATCGGAGTTCCACTCCTCCGACCGACCGCAGCTTAGAATTTTTACAAAGAAGAAATGAAAAAGGAAGTCCCTGGGATTGAAATGAAAGGATACCAGGCAGTACCAAAACCAATTGAAAAAATATAGAGAGAGACCATAAGTGAAGTTCTTAAATGATGTAAATAATAAAAACCCGGAGTCAGACGTAGAGGAAAATGCTGAGAAATCAGAGAGAAAAAAGAGCAAGCCACAGCACGCCTTACCTCCTTGGCGTCTCAGCAGACAGAACAATTTCCTGTTTCCCCGCTGCTTATATCCTTTTTCCACCCAGCTACCTCACTTCCTGTCTGTCTGTACAGACCTCCAGACCTCTATGGTTAGCTAGCTGCAGGCTCCACTCTCTGACCTTCAGTCACGCTTTATCCGTACAGGTAAGATATCACCACAATAGATCTCCAGGAAAGGTAACTGCACGGGCAGTTAAAAAGCTAAATGTATTATAATTTTGACTCGCAACTCTGCTTTTCCCATATGTTTTGAAAGACAAATGCACTCTGTTACTGACTGTAAGGTGTGTGAGGAAATGATCTGTGGCAGATTCAGACTGTATGTTACGAGTTTGGGACGATGAATGTATTGCTTTTGTTTTTGTTTGGTTTGGTTTGTTTCTTGAGACAGGGTTTCTCTGTAGCTTTGGAGCCGGTCCTGGAACTTGCTCTGTAGACCACGCTGCACTCGAACTCATAGAGATACGCCTACCTCTGCCTCCTGGGTGCTGGGATTAAAGGCATGTGCCACCAACTCCCAGCCTGGGATGATAAGAAACCTACAGAAACCAGATAAATTAGCCGTAGAATATACATAAGAGGAAATGATAAGGGAATCAAAACCTCACGCTAAAAATATTGGCAGAAGTGAGGATACAGACAGACCATTTTGTGAGGCTCTAGAATGAGAATTTTCGTTTATTTTTGAGGCCAAAGGCCAGTCAAACTTAGTCCTTCTTCCTCAGCCTCCTTAATAGAGTTACAGATACATATTACCATGTCCAGTAAAATGAGTCTCCCCCCCCCCTTTTTTTTAGTAAAGTTTTATTTTTGTGTTTTGTCTGTATGTACATCTGGTGTCCACAGAGACCAGAAGACAGCATCAGATCTCCTAAGACTGGAATTACATGCGGTTTTGAACAGCCTTGTGGGTGCTGGGACTTGAACCTGTGTCCTCTGGAAAAGCAGGCAGTGCTCTTAACCACTGAGCCATCTCTGCAGCATAAAATGAGTCTTAATAGATTCAAAAGATATATGTGTAAAGTATCTTCTCCAGCCACAGCGAAATGAAGCTAGAAATGAGTAACGTAAGGAAAACTAGAAGTCTCAGGAAAAGGCCATGGTATTAAACGACTAGAAGAGGATATAAATGGAAATGTAATTGAACAAAACTTAGGAAATGCAGTGATGGTGGTGCTGAGGAAATGTTTAGCTGTGAAACCTTCATTGTCAAGAAGAAAGCCAAGTGTGATGGCTCGTGCCTATGACCCCAGTTTAGGCATCTGAGGCAGGAGAACTGATGTGAATTAAAGGCCAACCTGGGCCATTCGCCTCAAAAATATTAACACACACACACACACACACACACACACACACACACACACACACACACTGAAGCAGAAGGATTCCAAGTCTTCTGCTATGGAGGGAGTTCAAGACCAGCCTAGGGAACTTAGTTAAACCATGTCTCAAAAAAGAGGCAGAGTACTTGCCCCCAGTTTACACAAGGCCCTGAGTTCAATCCCCAATATTGGCATTGGGGGTGGTGCTGGGGGAGGGTGCTATCTCAACTGACACAGAAACTTTATTCCTGCCTTTTCATGTGATTTGCATCGAAAGAATTACCGAGCCCCCCTCGGTCTACCTCCTGATAGCTTCTTTGTGCGAGCTCCTTCTATTGTGTGTAGAGCAGAAAGCTAAAGGCATATTAGCAGCCTATCAGTCAGAGCCCTGCTCAAGTAGCCGTCTATTATGGACACCCCTGCAGTGGGCAGGAGACAGTGGATATTGCCTATGTATTCTGGCCAGTCTCTTATGTCAACTTGACACAAACTAGAGTCATCTGAGAGTATGGAACCTCAATTGAGAAAATGCCTCTATAAGAGCAGACTATAGGCAAGCCTGTAGTCAGTGATTGGTGTGGGTGGGGCCACCCCGGGGCTGTTGGTCCTGGGTTCTATAAGGAAGCAAGCTGAACAAGCCAGTAGACAGCATTCCCCTCTGGCTTCTGCTTCAGCTCCTGCCTCCAGGTCCCACCTGGTTCAAGTCCTGTCTTGGTTTCCCTCAAGGGACAGTGATTCAGGATATGTAAGACAAATGAACCCTTTTATCCCCAAGTTGCTTTTGGTCATGGTGTTTCATCATAGCAAGAGTGACCCTAACTAATATACCAGGATCACCAGAAAACAAGTC